ATGGTTGACCATATGGTGGAGTTTGGTGACGGAAAAAAAGCGGCGGAGTGTTTCCAATTGATGACGGAAAAAAAGCGGCGGAGTTTGTTGGTATCGATGGGAATTGAGAATTTTGAGGATTAGGATTTTGAAAATTTTGCATGAAATTGAACATAGATTGTTGATAATTAAATTGATTAGGATCCATTTGGCCTAAACAATATTAATTTTGAAGTAAAAAGGTAAAAATTTGGGTAACATATATTGTCAAATGAAGGCTAATGAGAATAAATTGTAAGAGAAAAATTTTTAAATTTAGAGTAAAGTGATGAAATTTTGAGAGAAAAATTGAAAACTTAAGAGAAAATAAAAGTGTGAAAGAAAATTTGTGTGTAAAATTTTTCAAATAGGGTGTATTTATAGATAACTAAAAATGTTTAAAAAAAAGAAAAAAAAATAGAAAGAGACGTTACAATCAAAATTTAAATTATATTAATATTTTAATAGAAACTAGTGTTGCATTGTATAAGAACGGTTGAATAGGTCACATGTCTCCAACAACAACAGAATTTAATACTCTGTACGCCAGGTGGAAAAACCAAGAAAAATCCTCCCGTTGGAGATACTCTTACCAATCTTTCTCTTAGAACATTAAACCGTAACAATTTCACTTACCAAAATTTGCTTCATTATTCCCCAATCTTTCTATTAATCCTACGTGTCATTATTACCCTTTTTCATAAATCCCTTCACCTTCACCATAAAGAGTAACAGACTTGGTTTCTTTGCCGACATACTTTTGAGATTTCTCCTTCTCCGTACTACCCTGTCCCAGCCGATTGCCCACGAAGATTACCGACACCAGCTTTCAAAAATCCCTTCACCTTCCCTGTCAACGGGACTACATTCATTCCTTTTGCATTTTAATGAGATTAGAAAAGTGAAACCTTCATCCCTTATTTTTCTCTCTTCCTTGTGTTTCCAATTGATTTCATAGTTTCTGAATCTCAATTTTCTATTAATTGCAGGTTGGTTGCATAAGCATTTCTTTCTTTTTTTTATTAAAGGGAGGGCCAAAGCCCGAAAAAGAAAAACAACTACTCTAAACCATCAATGGAAGAAACAATCCCAATGGCATTAGTATCTAAAAAAGGCCTCAAGAACTGAGGAGCTTCCTTATAATAAATGAACTTCCTATTCACGCACCTATGATTCGCCAGACAGTCTGCACAAGCATTAGCATTACGATAAACATGTGATATTACCACCACTTCAAAAACTGAAATGACCTCTATAATTCTCCTAAGAATAGAGACACAATAAACCATCCACACCTTCCCATCTTCAATAGCTTTAACAACCATCGTAGAGTCAACATTAAGCTCCACTTTCACATAACTAAACTTAGATGTTAACTAAAACCTTCCAAGACACCCCACAATTCTGTCAAAGTTGCACTAATATTCCCTATAAATTTGGAGAATCCACATTTCCAATCACCATTATGATCTCTAAGAACACCTCCACAACCAGCAACATTGTTAACTTTGCTATCACCATCAGTATTCAATTTTATCATACTTCTAATAGGAGGTTTCCAACCTATAAATTTCTCTCCACTAGCCTCATCTCTTACAGTTCTATACAAATTAATTGGTTGCTTATAAACTTTTCCACACTTCAAAATATGCACAATAGGATTTGGGGGTCTCATGTAATCCTCCTTATGTTCTTCTAAGTTATGCCACAACTAAAGCGCATGACAAGCTATGATATAAGTATCACTCTAATCTGAGCTAATACGACCATTATAATTGAGATTTATCTTTATCTAGTTTTCAACTCAACTGTAAAGAACTCCACAAAAATGTCACTAGGCACCAAACTCTTCCAAACTTGTAAACATTTGGGATAGTCCCTCAGCGCATGAATGATAGATTCACAAACATTACCACACATCTTGCAACCCATACTACCAAAGCCTTTCTTGTTCTTGTTGTAATTTGTTAATAATATATCATACTTGACGATCCACATGAAACTCTTACACCTTTCCGGCACCGAGGATTTCCAAATTTTGATCCAATCTCCATCAACATTCTCAAAGTTTTATCCTTCTATCTCCTTAAACATTTCCTTAATCGAAAATTCATTATTTCCAGTACCTACAAAACAAAAAACATCGTCAATTTGGTCCATGCTTAGAGGCACGCATGCTTGCAATTTGTCAAGCCATTGAACCGGCAATCAACTCTCAAGAAGAGTTATATTCCAATCTCCATGCTCATTAATTAGATCACAAACTCTAGCTCCCCTTAGATCTTGAGGAATTTTCACATTCTAATCATTCAAAAGAAACTCAATCCCTAACCAATTATCATCCCAAGCCCTAATCATCATTCCATCTCCAACAACCCACTTTCTAGTTTTCAGCATAAGAGGAAAAGTATTAACAGCATCCTTCCAAAGGCTCGAATCAGTAGGTCTCGACTTCAAGCAATCCCTGCTTTCAAGAATCTTATATTTACTCCTCATCACCTTGCACCAAAGATCATTTTAATTAGTGTACATATGCCATCCAAGATTCATTAAACACACCTGGTTCAAGACATTTAAATCTCTCAAACATGTACCTCCTAACTGTTTTGGCAACATGACTGTGTCCTAAGCAATAGCATGCAATTTCCACTTATCATCTGTATCACCCGACGCAAAGCTTCTTTACATACCATTAATGGCATAAATGCAAGACTTAGGCAATTTATTTGTCATCATCAGATACAAAGGGATGGCCTCGATAAGGCTCTTTGCCAATGTAATTCTCCCAGCAAGCACCAAAGAATTAATTCCCCTTCCAAAAGTTAAGCTTCGCAGCCACTTGTTCCACAATATACTGACAATCATTCATTTTGAGTTTTTCCCACTTAAAGGAACTCCCAGGTATTTTCCAAAAGCCTTCACATTTGAACTTTGAGATACGATGCAGTTTTTCTTGCATACTTCTGTAAACGTTTTTGGAAAAGAGGATGCTAGTCTTATCCTGACTAACCTCCTGACCCGACATATGACAAAAACTTTCAAGATTTTCCATGACACACGTTATTTGATCTTCAGTAGCTTCTCCAAAAATCAATAAGTCATCGCAAACATAAGATGCGAGACCATGCTTTTCTGCTTACCTAACTTAACTTCTTTCCGTCTTTTGTTCATAACCGATTATTCAATTAAATGAGACAATTTATCTATGAAAATCACAAATAAATACGATGATATTGGATCACCCTGATGGATTCCTCTTTGAGGGCGAAAGAACCCATTTATGGCTCCATTCCAATTTTCATTTGTTTCAACACTAGTAATAGAATGCATTATCACATTCAACATGTTGTCTGGAATTTAAATTTCTCACAAGGTTCTCCAAATAAATTCCCAACTCAGCTTATCATAAGCTTTGGAAAAGTCAACTTTGATGGCAAAGGCACCTGTTTTCCCTTTCATTTTCTCCATCGTATGCATGGCCTCCTTAGCAACAATGTTGTTCTAATGAATAAGCCTCCCAGGGACAAAACTTGTTTGGAATGGAGATATCAGCTTATCCATGTGATTCTTGAGTCTTCCCGCAACAATCTTGCTTAAAACTTTATAAATAGTATTTCACAATGATATTCGTCTAAATTGAGACACCATGCTAGGGTTTGTAGTTTTTGGTATAAGGAAAATGTCAATTTTGTTAACCTGCGCATTTTCATTAGGTTTCTCCCACATTTTGCTTACAAAATCACACAATGTCACCAACAACTCCCCATGTTTTTTTATAGAAGCCAGCAGGGAATCCATCAGGCCCTGGAACATTTCAAGGTTTAATATAAAAAACAACCTTATTTATTTCCTCCTTACTTACCTTAGTATCCAACCTAATAATATCTTCCTCCAACATGCGAGGATAAGATATTTTAGATTGCTTCCAACTGTTCCAGTTATCTCCAATAGAGAACATCTTTTTATAGTAACCATTCACCAAAACTTTAATCTGATCTCTATCCTCTATCCACTTTCCACTATCATCCTTAAGCATGAGAATCTTATTACTTCTCCTCCTATTTACAGTCTTCAGAAGATAGTATTTTGTGTTTCGATCACCAACAACTAACCACTGGGCTCTTGATCTCTGAAGCCACATAAGTTTTTCTTGTCGTAGGACTATTTTAAGCTTTCCCTAAAGCTTTTTCTCCAGTCTCAACAAACCACCAGTGTTATGCCTATCTTCCATAATTCCTCTTTTCACCCTCTTTTCACCCTCATATGAAAAGTCGAGTTTCCAATCTTTTGACGAGCGTATTCTTAGCTCGATAGGGAAAACTCAAACGAGCTCCACCATCATCCTACTACGATGGCATAATACCTAGATCGTGATAGGAAGTTCACGCTGCATAGCTCGGGTCTCAAACGAGACAAAAGCTATGCTCCCTGCCCATTTCAAACCCGGTCGTTTGAAAAGTTCCCCACACTGTCGAACAACATAGCAGTCGAGAAAATCCTCGAAAATAACATAGAAAAATATCGAAAATATATGCTTCAAGCTAGCGAGCAAACATGCATGCAAAACTTAAGCAAAAAGCAATACGAGTATAAAGCAGAAATAAGTAAAACCGTGCACAAGCATATTAATGAGCGGCCACAAGGCCAAAATTGTTAGAATATTACATAAAGAGGGCCAAGCCCCCATCCAAAAAGAGTAAAGCATTGGTCACGAAGACCATAATTGTTATAACATTACATCAATCGGGCAACGCCATCCAAAAAACTTATTACAAATAAACGACGCATAGGCCAAATTAAAACACAAGAAAGGATAAAGTTAATTAGTCTTCCGCCATGTGCTCATCCCCAATGAGTTTCCGCTCCCCTCCATCTTCTTGCCTGCAAAAGTCGAGGATCTTGGGGGCCAGTATCCGACCATCAACAACGTTGTTTAGAAAACTGACCCCCTTCATAGAAAGCTCTAACCCGGAATTCGCCACTTAAAGTTGAGCCACCGCATTCGCAAAGCCATTTTCAACGGCTTCTAGCACATGTTGTTTGAGATTTTGGATGCGGGCGACAAGCTCGTTACGGAACCTCAAGGTTTTCAACTCGTCGAGCTCATCCTTCGAGGGAGCAGAAATAACCTTTAAAGCAACAACCTTGGTTGAAAGACTCTTTTTGTAGGCAGCATAGGCGACTGTCATATTTGCCATGTCCACAACCAGGAAGGACATCATCGCTATCTACTCGTCCATATCCATTATGAGCTCGACCTGCATCTTATATGGTCCTTGTAATCATCAAAGTCTTTTTCCGATTTGATTAACTTTTCCTGAAGATTTGCGATGGTCGCCTTCACCCTTTTCAATTCTTTGGCAGAGCAAGTCTCCCCGTCAGTGTAAACCACCGCCATTTCAAAAATCTGGATCATGTCAGCAACATCCTAGGCCACAAGTTTTCTTTTTCTTGCCAAATCGAGGTTCTCGAGGAGCAATGATTCTATGCGTGGCACGGTCAATGATGGACCTCCTTCAAAGTACTCAGTGATGAGAAGGAAAAAGGCAACTCAAACATGTCTTCGTCAGCATCCTTGGTAAGATCTACCTGATCGGTATCCACATGTCACCGCTTTTTATTCGGGGTGGCCTCCTTTGACAGGGATCGTTCCTTGGTGCACAAAGAGGACGAAGTCCCAGACCTAGATTGTGGTTGGCTCACCACTCCAGAAAAACGAGTCTTAACAATATCAGCTTTCTTCGTTTGCTTCACGCGGTTCACGACAATTAGCTTAACTACACGTCCCTTAAAGCTCGACATCTTACTTGTTGTTAAAACCGAGCACAATTAGCAGACCAAAATAAATACAAGGTGAAGAGAAAGACATTACCTAAGAGCTCCATAGCCTCCTCGACAGTAACACTCAAGGAGTTCCTTGGTGTTGATAAGTCGAGACTCAAGCACGGGCTCCCCATGATCATCGATGATAGGTTCCCCCCTCTTGGTCACACACTGAGTTGGGACAAAATCATTGACAAACCCCACTAATTTATCATAGCTAGTCTAATTGTCAGTGTCCAGTTGGTCCACCCTCATGGTGTAGTAGTCGCTTCCCTGCTCAAAATGGTCGAGGCTCCAGTGAAAATGAAACTTCGGGACCAACTTCTTCCTCTCATTCCCACGCTTGTTATAAAGAGGACGCCCGTCCGGCCAAACTATAGCCATCCGGTTAAACACAAAGCAAATAGCCATTTACGACTCGGGTTGAATAAGGTAGTACCTAGTTTTAAAAGTACGGACCAACTCACAGAACGCCTTGAACAACTTCTTTGACTTCTTCAACGAAACCCAGTTGTGCCGCCCCTTATTAGATTACCGCTGGAAGTGGAAACAATGAAAGAACAACGGAATGGTGGCACCAATATCAAGGTACCGACATACAATCTAAAATGCTCGGATGAAGGCTACCGCGTTCGGATGAAGTTGGGAAGGCGCCAACTCCAAATCATTAAAGATGCCCACCTGGAAGTCACTAAAGGGAAGCCACAAGCCTACCTCCCTAAAACAGTAGTCATACATGGCTAATTGATTCTTCTCAAGTTTCGAGCAATGACTGCTGGTCAGGTTCAGGCCATAAGAGAAGATGGAAAATATTAACCAATAGATCTTTGAACTCCGCAAAGAGGTAACTACTTTGAAGGTTGGTATGGAGTATCTGATTGCTTTAGTTAAAACTTTGGTTGTTGTCCAAGTCAATCATTCTAGGAAGGAAGAAGAGATGGAAAAGGTTTTCATAGAAACTCTAAAATATTCTTTCATGAGAAGGTGATATTCAACACACGCAGGGATTTCTCTGAAAAGTTGAATATGGAAATGCTTCTAAAAAAGGATGTCCGAAAGGGATGTTTATCTGAAGATGGTGGCTCAGCTAATGGTGTGAAGAAGTTTGATAATAATTTTTCCAAGAAAAGAACTGTAGCGGTAGAAATGTTTAAGACTAAGCCATTGGACTGACTAGACTTATACAGATCAAAATAAAAATCGCCACCGCGCTTTAATGTTTCCAAAGGAATGGGAAAAGAGTGAATAAACCAAAAAGAGGGGGAAAGATTCTAGGTAAGGGGGTTGGTTATGCAAAGGGAAGGTATTAACACCCTAAACATCTACGGTACTCCGCATGAACCTCTTTCTAAAATCTGTATATTTTGGCTATAAAATGTTGTATAAAAATTGATGGTGGAGGTGAGAAAAGAAATATATTTTTTTATGGTTTTTGCACCCGCCGCGGTTGCGAAACTTTAGTGCCTACGTACCACCTTCCGTGCAATAGGGGATCAGGGTACACGTAGTTCCTCTTTTAAAATATTTTAAAACATAACTGTGTTGGTTAATTTTATGAGATAAGACATCATCGTCATTGTCCGTGTGGAAAACATACTTACTACCCACAATCATGAGAAAGGAGAATTTGCATCATCTCAAAGTGGAGGATATGGCTTGGATTTTAAAATCAACAATGCCTCAGTCAACATCCAAGTGAAAAATATCTCTCTTCACTACATATTGTAGAAGTATAGTTGTTTGCATCACTACAAGGATTGACAAGAGTCCAATCTTTTTAGAAAAGTTTTAAAGTAGAAGCCAACGTGGCAAAATAGTTTGAAATGAGATTGATTGACTTTTAGTCTTATCACAAAAACTGTCAAGGTATTATTAAGTTGATTGAAGTTTGTTTATGAAAATGTTTTGAAGATGCATGGACCTAAGTCCAAGTTTATTATGAAAATACTTCAAGTTTAAAAACAGGAACAATTTTCAAAATGAGGGAGAAGATTTTTGAAATTAAAGAAGATGAGAGGAGAAGAAGAGACTATCCTAAAGCATAAGGTAAAAGATAGGGATAAGAACCATCTAACCAACAAGAAGCCAATACTAGACATTATGAGCCAAGATAGAATTCTCATTCTTTGGGAGTTCACTTGCCCCTAGAATCAGTGTTAAAAGACATGATCTTCCTGAGCACGCGATCGCCTTCTCTGAATTCACGAGGTTTGAACTTCTTATAAAAAGATTTTTTTTATTCTCTTATGATATAACTGGCCATGACACAAAGCCGTCATTCTCTTTTCTTCAATAAAATTCAATTGGTCAAACCTGTTCTGGACCCATTCAGCCTCTGACAACTTGGTTTCCATTATCACACGTAAAGAGGGAACCTCAACCTCGATTGGGAGCACAAATTCCATTCTATACACAAGGGAGAATGGGGTTGCTCCTGTTGAAGTGCGGACAAATGTCCGATATCCATGTAAAGAAAAAGGGAGCATTTCATTCCAATCTTTATAAGTAACAACCATTTTCTGGATAATCTTCTTGATATTCTTATTAGCAGCTTCAACAACCCCATTCATCTTCAGCCTGTACGGACATGAATTGTGATGGACAATCTTGAATTCCTCACAAAGTTCTGTCATCATCTTGTTGTTCAGATTCGAGCCATTGTCAGTGATAATTCTACTCGGCACACCATACCGACATATAAGATTATTCTTAATCAAGCGCACCACCACCTACTTAGTAACATTAGCATATGAAGCTACTTCCACCCATTTGGTGAAGTAATCAATTGCTACCAAGATAAAACAATGTCCATTTGAAGCCTTGGTCTCTATCATCCCAATCATGTCAATACCCCACATAGAGAAAGGCCATAGGGAAGAAATCACACTGAGAAGTGTTGGAGGCACATGAACCTTGTCCGCATAAATCTAGTATTTATGACACTTCTTTGCAAATTTGTAACAATCAGATTCCATTGTCAGCCAATAGTAACCTGCCCTTAGCATCTTCCTAGCCATTGAGTGTCCATTGACATGAGTTCCAAATGAGCCTTCATGAATCTCATGCATCAACATGTCTGCTTCGTGTCTATCCACACATTTGAGCAAGAACATGTCATAATTTCTCTTGTACAACACATATTCACTGAGGAAGAAACTGCCAGCCAATCTTCTCAATGTCTTTCTATCTTTATTCGATGCACGAATTGGGTATTCCTGAGTTTGAAGAAAATGCTTGATATCATAATACCAAGGTTTCTCATCTACTACCTCCTCTGTTTTAAACACATGAGCAGGCCTATCCAGTCGCCGAACCATAATTCGAGGTATATCATTCCAAGTATTTACTTGATACATAGAAGCCAGAGTTTCCAGAGCATCCGCCATTTGATTTTCATCTCTAGGAATGTGATGGAATTCAAATTTATTAAATAAGGGTAACAATCTTCTAGCATAATCTTTGTATGGGATCAAGCCAGGGTGACGGGTATCCCATTCTCCTTTAATCTGATTTATTACCAAAGCTGAATCCCCATACACATATAGAACTTTAATTATGAGATCAATAGCTTCCTCGAGACCCATGATGCAAGCCTCATATTATACCATATTATTAGTACAATCAAATGTCAATCTTGCAGTAAACAAAATGTGTGATCCATGTGGAGTGACAATCACAACACCAATTCCTTTACCATAAGAATTCACAACTCCGTCAAATATCATACTCCAACGAGATTCAGGATCAGGATCTTCCTCAGGCAATGGTTCATCACAATATTTCACTTTCAAAAACATCACATCCTCATCGGGGAAATCATACTTCACAGACTGATAATCATCAACTGGTTGGTGAGCAAGATAATCTGCCAACACGCTGCTTTTAATGGCTTTTTGAGTGCGGTATTCTATATCATATTCAGATAATAGCATCTGCCAAGGGGAAATTCTCCCGGTAAGAGCAGGCTTTTCAAAAATGTACTTGATTGAATCCATTTTGGAGATCAACCAAGTGGTGTGATTCAACATATACTGCCGCAAACATTTTGCCGCCCAGGCCAGAGCACAACATGTCTTTTCCAGCATGGAATACCGTGACTCACAATCAGTAAACTTTTTACTGAGATAATAAATGGCGTACTCTTTCTTCCCCGTTTCATCTTGTTATCCCAGAATACAGCCCATGGAATTATCCAACAACACTGTCAGATACATAATCAATGGTCTTCCTTCAATAGGAGGGAGCAAGATGGGAGGTTCAAGCAGATATTCTTTAATTCTTTCAAATTCCCTTTGGCAGTCATCCATCCACACACAACCTTGATCTTTCTTTAACAACTTAAAGATCAGTTCACATGTTGTAGTCATGTGGGAAATGAGTCTGGAAATATAATTTAGAC